CTCGTAGTCTGCGTCCCATTTCAGGCCCTGGGCGGCGGCCTTGTACGTGGCGGCGGACCCTTTGGGCGCCGCCGGGAGCCTCCCTGGACCGCCGCCGGCCGCTGCCTCCTCCCCCCGTACCGACGCCGTCGGCGCCGACGCCCCCGACGCTGCTCACCCCGCTCGGGGTCGTCGTTCGGGGCTCGGGGTACTCGTCGCCGTCCATGGCTCTCTCTCCCACGCCGTAGAGCGCGTCCCCGACGCTGCCGCCCGTGCCGGGGCCCGTGGCCGCCGCCGCCGCGGAGGGACCCACGAGCGCCTTGCCCTCCAGCTCCTGCTTCGCCCGGAGGACCCTGGTGCCCAAGACGGGGAAGAGGACCCCGACTCCGGCGAGGAGGATGGCGACGCCCTCGGTTGTCCTGCGAACCTGCGCCGTTTTCCCGGTGTGTTGCAAGGGCGGAGGGGTGTGGTTTTGGTCAACACGTGGTTGACACCGCTGTCGCGCTACGAAGTTATCGGTCGGGCCTTGAGGCTTTTGAGAAACGGCCGGGGGTGTGCGGAATAATCTTATGCAACCTACACCAGCAACAGGGACGCGAGCGGCGTGCGTGTTCACAGTCATACCTGAGCGTTGGCCTCGGCCCAGACGACGGCGGCCACGAGGATCCCCGCCACGCCCAGGTTGTACGTCGCCATCCCGATCCCTCTGTGAACACCACAAACGACACCACCGGTCGCACGGGGGCAAATGTACACACAAAAGCCGAGCACACAAACGGACGGGCAACGAACTAAGAAAAACAAGCACACGGTGAAAGACAACAACAAGACATGAGGGTGCAAGAACAAAAAACAGCACGCGCATTGAAAAACACACCACCAAGCCAGCAGGCACAAGCACCGGCAGACGGGCAACGGCAAGGGCGGGCGCCACGAAATAAAGGGGCCACGGAAAAGAATCACCTCGAACGACCGCGGCGTCAAGGGCGGCAGCGGAGAAACAAACCGGGGCAACGAAATAACAAGTCTGTAACACGCCAAGCACACACCCGCCATCTCTGTGTAGTTTGTACACACACGGATCTCGCTACAAGCGCCACGAAAAGTAGGTCGGGAACACGAGTCGCTGACCGACTGAATACGGGAAAGGTTGAGTCGACGACAACGACAACAACAACAAAACTGCACGAAGACATGATCAACAAAGGACACATGTACAAGGCACGCCTGCTCCGCTGCTCAACAAAACATTTCATTGGTTTACAAAGCCACAACGAACAGCAAGCAACACGATAGTATACCAGCAACTTTCGCATCACCACCCCCCGTCCCGCGCCGTCCCTAACAAAGTTAATTCCACGCACCCGTTGTCCCTCATGTAGTCTTGGAACTTGCGTGCCTGGAAGCGCACGTAGCAGCAGAAGAGCACCAACACCACCTGCGTCGCGGGAGCGGGGGAGCGCCGGTGGCGGAGGAGGTTGGGGAATGGTGGGAAGTGCTTGACAAAGCGAGTCGAGAGGTCGGGTGATAGACGGCCTGTCGTCGGTGGCCGTATCCGCTTTCGTTGGCCAAAACCTCTATTAATAGCCTTTCTTTGCAGTTCGATGGCAATTTTTTAGTTTCCCGAGCCTCGAAAAATGACCACTGTGATGGTTTGCTATTTATTTCCACCCACCCAACCAACCAAGACGTCTTGACAACGTGTCCACTCGCCCCTTCGACGCCTTTTCTTCCGTCTCCTCCCTTCGCCCATCGTGTTGCGATACGCACCCCTCTCTTTTTCTGCTCTACACCTTTGCCCAACAGTCATCCCTCCCGCGGGTAGACATGGCGCCCAACTTGATAACTCTTCCTCTCCCGTCCTCGTCTCGTTCGGCCCCTTGTCCTTATCCTTATCCTTGTCTGTCGTCTCTCAATTCCATTCTTCTGCCGCACACCGTCCTTCCATCTCCCACGTTTCCTCCCTCCCCGCCACCAATGAGCAGACCAGCACCCCAATACTATCTACCTGCCTGGCTGCTCCACTGTTGCTACTACCGGTGCGCCCCCCCTCCCCCCCCCCCCCTCCGCCTGGTCTAGGTGTCTCCCACCGGCGAAGCAACGCTCACCAAGAAGAGCAAAGAAACAGCCAAGAAAAAAATATGTCAGCACCCCGCCTTGGCTTTGGCTCTCTCACCTTCAGAGCAATCCAAGACCACATGAGCCCGTGGTTGCAAGACACGCACGAGCTGCGTGTGATGAACGCTCCTCCTCCCACGGACTCGTAT